GCTTCATGTTATTAGCACTGATGACTGAGTATCTTTACTCATACAAGTACTACCACTGAAGACAATGAAGTCACTGCATCCGTAAAATTACTCGTGTGCATAGGAATGTGTCAGACTCTAGGTCTGTGTTCTTTGGAAATGAGGAGATTCAGGCCCTGATCCTGTAAACACCTGATATGCCTAGCTTGTATATAGTGCTTTTCATCAGTAGATCAAAGCTCTGTACAAAGGAGAAAGCATTATCCCCAGTTTACAGATGGGGAAACTGAGGCACAGAGCAGTGAAGTTGCTTGCCCAAGGTCACTCAGCAGGTCAGTGGCAGAGCTGCAAATAGAACCCAAGACTCCTGAGTGCCAGCCCAATGCTCTATCCACTAGGCCACATGTCAGAGAAACCAGCATCTGAGAGTGGACCTCTCTGGGGTATAGAACATTTTAGAGAGAACAGATGATAGAATGGGGTTTGAGCTAGTGTCAGATACAAGAACATGGGGACATAAAATGACGCAAAGGATGGCCCATACATGGAGGAGAATTTCTTCACCCATGTAGAGTGGTTCCTTAAAGGCAAGAACAATCAAACTAAAGTCTAGTTCCTGATCCTGAGGATTAATAACAAACTGAGGATGTAAAAGTCAGAAAAGTAGCTGGGCCTCCAAGAGCCACTAACCTCAACCGGCCATCTGTCTCCAGAAATTGCTCAGCCATTGCTGATACTAGGAGCTGAGCATTTAAAAAAACCTCCCTGCTTCTCCCAGTGGGTCATGCAATTTCAACAGCTAGCCACAGGGAATTTCAGAGTGAAGGCACAATCCTGCGAGGTGCTGAGTTCCTTCTGTGAGGAAACGGGAGCTCAGCAGCTCACAGAACTGGGCCCTTACTGTCCCACGTATTAGCCAGTCTGTTTAAAATCATACCATTTAAAGAACTTTATCATATATAACTATCAAAAGCACCAATATAAGCGGCAGGTATAAATACAGTAAGCTTGTCATCTATCTGAATGGAAGAAGATATTGTGGGGAACAATTGTTAATTTAAAGGACAGGCTGGATTTAAATGAGATTTCTGACTTCCTCCTGACCTTCAATTTTCTCTCTCTTTTAATAGATGGGCTATTTATGAAGCTTTGTAGTTTGATATCTACAGGAAGCAGATTAATTAATGCTTCTACTATTCCAATTTCTGGATGGGTTTAAATCAACTTATTTTTCACTTTATAAATGATCCACTTTGTTTTTTTGAAGTGGAACTTTTTCCCTTGAATACGGCAGTAAATAAGGCCATACTGCAGCAAAACCGAAGCTCTCATTAGAAGGAAGGTAGTTAAGGCACGGAACGATCATAAGTCAATACAGTTTTTCAGATTGGAGAGACCTGAAGGGGTTTATAATTAAAATTTTGGCAGCTTCTGATAACAGGGCACATCACTTTAATTCGTCCATTTCCTAAGATGGTTGCACAGACTTTTAAAATAATATTTTTTGTACAAGAGTTCCAAACAGTATTGCTGTCTGACTTTAACCTTCATCACAGGGCCTCGCATAACATGTCTGCTAGGAATTTAAACCAAGAAGCTGTTATAAAGTTCTCAATATTTGTATTTTATAGCAAAACCCATTTCTCCTCTTTGGGTGTTAGCTACAACGTGGTCTTTCATTGCTCTAATTTGCAGTGCACTACTTCTCTGTGTAGGGCAGTAATATAATTGCGGAAGTGACTCCTGTAAACTTTGTTTTAAGCATTGATATTTTCTAAAATGAGGAGCTTGTTATACTAATTCTAATAATAAAGGTCAGCTTACATATGAAACTTAAACGGTCATGTTAGAGTGGATGTTCTCAAGATTGAACATACCTGGTAGAAACCGTAAGGGAACAAAAAATATATCTTCATGTACTTCAGTGAACTCGGACAGCATCTTTTATCTCTTTGGCCACTAAAGGTAGCTCTTCCTGCTGACTGAACTACAGCAGTCTGAACTAGAGAGCATGGACCGAGCTCTGCTATTCGTTACACAGATAAATTCAGAATAACACAACTGCAGTGAAAATAAAATATCATTACCCCAAAAATCTTGGATATTTAAATCTCTGGCCATATAAGTAAGGAAATGTAATTATATCTCATATATATACATACACACCTCTACCCCGATATAACGCTGTCCTCGGGAGCCAAAAAATCTTACCGTGTTATAGGTGAAACTGCGTTATATCAAACTTGCTTTGATCCACCGCAGTGCGCAGCCCCGCCCCCCCGGAGCACTGCTTTACCACGTTATATCCGAATTCACGTTATATTGGGTCGAGTTATATCGGGGTAGAGGTGTATAAAATATATATATATATACACACACACACACACACACACACACACACTATTC